TACTTGGGTAACATAGCAGGATGTAGGAGATGCCCTTTCTTTCCCTGTTGGTCCAGTCTTGGGGGGCAAGGTGGGGATGCACTTACAGATGAACAGACTGGGTTTGCAGCTGGGGTGATCTGGGTCTGAGGTGTGGCTCTGCCACTCACTCGCTGTCTTAGGGTTCTATTGCTTCGATGGGACACCATGACCAAAAAGCAAGTTGGAGAGGAAAGGGTTTATTTCACTCACCATCCATATCATCAGGAGCAGTGAAGGCAGGGACTCAAATAAGGCAGGAACCTGGAGTCAGGAGCTGATGCAGAAGCCATGGAAGGTGCTGCTTACTGGCTTGCTCCTCATGGCTTGCTCAGCCTGCTTCAATCCAGGGATGGCCCTACCCACAATGGGCTGCCCCCCACCCCATCAATCACTAATTAAGAAAATCCCTTACAGCTGGATCTTATGGAGGCATTTTCTCAATTGAGGCGCCCTCCTTTCAGATAACTCTAGTTTGTGTCAGGATGACATAGACTGGCCAGCACACTTGCCTGTGACTTCATGACTTTCACTTCTATGGGCTGGCCTTTTGTTTTGTTTTGGATATAATCTTTTTTTTTTTAAGATTTTATTTATTTATTATGTATACAACATTGTGCTTCCACACCAGAAGAGGGAACCAGATCTCATAATGGATGGTTCTGAGCCACCATGTGGTTGCTGGGAATTGAACTCAGGACCTCTGGAAGAGCAGTCGGCGCTCTTAACCTCTGAGCCATCTCTCCAGCCCCTTGGATATAATCTTGTTATGTTGCCTGAGTTGGCCCAGAGCTCAGTACCCTTCTGTCTTTTGTTTTTGTTTTTTGTTTTTTTTGTTTGTTTGTTTGTTTGTTTTTTCGAGACAGGGTTTCTCTGTGTAGTTTTGGAGCCTGTCCTGGCACTGGCTCTAGAGACCAGGCTGGCCTCAAACTCACAGAGATCAGAGATCCACCTGCCTCTGCCTTCCGAGTGCTGGGATTAAAGGCGTGTGCCACCAACGCCCGGCTCCCTTCTGTCTTTTGAGTGATAGCATTATAGACATGTGCCACCATGCCCAGATGTGGGGTCTGCTTATCTTATTTGTACATTTATTTTGTTTTTAGGGGGCAGGGTCTCACTGTTCTGGAACTAGCTGTGTAGAGCAGAGTGGTCTTGAACTCACACAGTTCCACCTGCCTCCCTAGTGCTGGATCAAAAGTGTGTGTCACTGTGCCAGGCTTGTTTGTTTTTTAAAATTTCTACTTAAGGGCCTATGAGATGGCTTTAGGTAAAGGTGCTCACTGCCAAACCTGATAACCCCGAGTTCGGTCCCTAGCCTCACATGTTAGAGAGAACAATTTCTTGCAAGCTGTGTCACTCACAAACACAATAAAATGTAATCTGAAAAACAAAATAGGCAGCTGGGCGTGGTTGCATAGCCTTTAAATATCTTCCACCCCTGCTTTGGGGAAGCAGAGGCTCATGGATCTCTGTGAGTTCAAGGCCAGCTTGGTCTATTGAGTGAGAACCAGGGCTGCTGCTATACAAAGAAACTCTGTCTCACCCCCCCCACACACACACACACAAAAAAAAAAAAAAAAAAAAAAAAAA